TCCCCCTCCAATCTCTTGCCATAACCACTTTAAGAACACAGAAAATTCTTGCTGCCTATTCCTCATAGAGGTCAGGCCAAAGCAGAATCACTTGTCATGCAGAGCCAAAAGAACGGACTTCTGCCATGGCAGTTTTACATGCAAGAGAAATTCTTAAATCAGACACTTGGATTTTAGAGGCTGCTTATTATTACATGGCCCACATTCTTATAATGAAAAACTACCACATGCACACAATTAAGGTGATTGATGTACCCTGATACGTGTATATGTCCACTGTTTAGAAACAGAGATCTCATCATACCAGTGGGTACAATGGAATATGTATAGTGTATGCATATTCCACTACACGTACAGCCAAGAGCTCAAAAAAATACTAACAAGGGAGAGGAAAGGCATGAGGAGAAAAATTAGATCCATGTAACTTCATAGGGGTCTGCAGGAGACACAATGAAAAGCATCCCTCTTCATCCTATTCCTCTTGGAATGCCTTTTCGGATGAGATCTTCCCATATCCTAAAATCCAAATCAAATTTTGGCATCTTTGAGAAGCTTTTCCCGAAAATCCTAAGCAGCTGGGGCTTCCTTTCTTTGTTGCAATAACATATTAATTACAGTGCTTAATAAATTGCTGCAGTTTCATTTACAAGTTTGTTTCCCTATTAGGCATTTCCTCAAATAATGGAATGTTTTATTCATCCTTGCCTTCCCAATACCTTCAACAATGTTAGGCACTAGAAAAGTCCAATAAATAGCTGTTCAATGGATTAACAAATGGATATCTTCAAATGCTAGAACATAAAAGTAATGAGTCACAGACAAATCCAAAAAAAATTAATTTGCTATTCTTTCTACTAAAAAAGAAGGGATCTAACCTGAACTCAAAATGATCTATGCAGTGGATCTGAATGCTCTGAATAGTTAAAGAAGATAAATTCAAAGGCAAGTAAGAAAGGCACAATAATACCAGTCATGGTGGCACACACCCATAATCCCCACACTCTGAGAGGCCAAGGCAGGAAGATTGTAAGTTCAAGCCCAAACTGGGCACTCTCTGCAACTTAGTGTGATTCTGTCTCAAAATAAATTTTTAAAAAGTTTGAAAGGGGGGGAGGGGACTAGAAATGTATGTAGAACAATGAGAATGCCCTGAGTTCAATCCCTGGTACAGTACTGCGGGGGGGGGGGGGGGGGGGTTGCACAATAAAAATTCTGCTTGTCCCTCTCTGTCACATATTAGGTTATAAGGGTTACTCCTTATTGCCCATACAAATTCTTAAGTGATAGGAAGTATAACACTTTATTTTTGGCATTTCTGACACCTAAGAAATATTTAAATAAAAATGCAGGACTGAGAGGATTGTTTCTATTAGATTCCTCTGGGGAAGATAAAGAATTCTAACGAAGCTCTGATCATATTTAAAGAGTTAGAACTGAATTAAAACACCAATGCAAGCAGAATCAGAAGAGTCCCTTGTGCAGGCCACCAAACAAATGGTTCACATGAATGGGAGCAGGAACTAGTCCAAAGTCAAGGGGCATAGGACATGTAAAGCAGCTGATGGGTATTTGGGAATTACCTAGCTTCTTTTCAGCAACTGATAAAAACCAATGTGAAAACAAAAGAGTAAGAAATTTACAAGTGTACCATTGTCTAACGTAAAATTTTTATTTTAATATTTGTTTGCCTACTTTTACAAAAATCACATTTTATGTCCATAATTTTTACTTCCCCAAATCCTAATACGAGAAAAGGCCCTAAAAATTATCTACTGAAGCCCTCTATTCTTAATTTTGTAAAACAGCAAGTGATTTGCCCAAGGTCATACCTCTAATGAGAGGCAGAGCATGAACTCAAATTCAGGTCTCCAGGATTCTTAAAGCTCTTTCAGCTAGACAGCGCTTTTGCCATGCTAACACGCCTATCATTAGGGTTTGGTAACACACATACACACAGTCTTAATTATATAATATTTGGTCTTCTGAACATAAGTTAAAACAGATAAAGAATCTTCTGTTTCTCAGTTTTGAAGATAAAATTCTATTCCTAGTTGATTTTTTAAATTCTACAAATGTCCAGTGCCTGTAATGACGGTCTGAGATCTAAAAACAAATTTTGTCTTCTTACATATTTCCATTCTTTCAAATAAAGTCTGACTGCCTAAATTCTATAACTGACTTAAAAAATGAACACCCCTCCCATTCCCCGGTGGGTACTCTTTTGGCATTCAGGCACAAAGGACACCATTTATGGTGACAATAAGAACAAATTAATTCTGAGATGAATTACACATTTATTTTAACCCTATTAAAATCTGAAATTAACACAACTATAAAAGGCCTTTTTCTCCTGTATGTAATCATGCCTCAAATAATTTCTTCCTTCCTTATGTTCCTTAAGATGCTGATTTTATCCTGGATGTGGCATAGTAGCAGAGTAGGATTACTAATTCATTAAGTCAAAGAAATGATCTATCAAGCTATTTTACTTCCTAAAACTTAATAATTTAAGAAGTTAATTTCTCTAGTCTAAATTCTTTCACTAATCATTCATGTTCTATGCTCACTGGACTACTGAAAGGATACAACATTTACATATGTTCATTTTAACAGTCAAATATGTCTAAAAACTTATTTACATTATTTAACTTTATTGTAAATCTCAAGATTCTTTCTAAAGTTATTACTGTTGTAGTTCCTAGAATACTATGAAATTTCAGCTGCAGAATATATAATTTAATTTGAAAGTAAATCAATACTAGAGGCAAATTATTTGATCATCTCATGAAAGATTAAACAGCCACAAATTTTATTTTATCAGGACTAAAATGCATTAAATTACATTTTACTGACATGAGATCAAAAGAACCTCATAAATATAATGCAGTCTTTTACCAGAAGATATAAAAAAGCCAAACCAAAAAAATATTCCCTCTGGAAAACAAAAACTGTTTTAAGTAATTTTAAAATTCTCCTGATATTTGATCCATTACACACACAAAAAAGTTCTTCATATCAACAGAACCATTAAAGGATTCTGGAAAAAACACCCAAAAGATCACAAATTAAAGTTTTTTCCAAAATGCAATGTTACTTTGCGGCCATCATAAGTGACAAACAAATATACACTATACTTCTGCTATTTTTAAATTGTATAATTCCCAAATTATTCTTAATATTCTAAATTAAAATCTGACCATCAAAATATAAAATATGTTTAAAAGTGCCTTCTGCCAAAACACAATATTATACATTTTAAGTATAAAATCTAATTTAAAATAATTTCCATATTTTAATTAGCCTGAATTGGTAATTTATAAAAACAACTGGCTTCACAGAGATTAATTATGATTTAAAGTCACTAGAATTTTATAAAACACATGACAGATTGGTCAAATGTACAATGTGTAATCTCATAGGACTAGGGATTTTATGAATATGCTCCAAATTACATAATACTCACGGATGGGGAGATGGTTTAAATCTTTTGAAAAATATTACTGTATACAGTAAGTGACTAAGGACAAGTTTTAAATACAATCATTACAGAGTAAAACTTCAATGAGAAATCTAATTAGACAACAGAGTCCGTATTTCCAGACGCTGGATTTCTCAAATGTCACCACACTACCTATTCTGCTAAAAAGTACTTTTAAATGCATGCAGAGCCCACAGTATCAAGTTTTCAGATCCCTACCTTTTGCCCATATCTGCACTGCTTTACTGTTGCATAAAAGCACTGAAATACACCCAAATTAATTAAAACTACTTTCTCTTAGAATCCATTTTAAATTATTTTAAAAATATTTCGGTAAACCTAGGAAAAACGCTGACTAAATAAATACAACTTCCTTTTCCAACATCCAGAACACTTAAGTATTTATAAATATGGCCTGCCCCCCGCCCCGAGGGAACTACTTCAGCTTTATGAATGGTTTCATTTTTTGATGTCCCCTAATTTTTTTAAAGTAATTATTTTAAACATGAAATACCTGCTAACCAAACCAACAGTGATGCTCATGGAAAGCCACTTTATTTCTAATAAAAATCTAAAGATTATATAATAAAACTGTAACATCTTTTGAATAATTTTCTAAAAGGTAGCAGAGATAACATCCATTTTTACAAGAAAACAAGGAGTTAATAAAATATAATTTCTCCCCAACTAAGAATTACGTTCCATTTTGTCAATATTACAAAACATTCATCTACTGACAAAGGAAAAATGAACACTTCACTTGCCTGTTAAGAAACTAAAATGGGAGCATTACTAATCATAGGTTTAACTGAGTTATTTCTGAAGGAGAATATGTAAAGCAAAGAAATTGCCACTGCTAAATTTTAGGGGGACGGCCTGAAAAAGCCCGTATTTGTCACTTGCCTTTTTCCCCACCACCCACCTTGCACCAAACACCCATTGTTCTATGTAAAAATTCACAGCAAACGATATCTAAATAGCAACTGCTACGTTTCTGTTGCAGATGACCACTATGAGGACCACATTTACTTGCTACAAAACCACATTCACTTGCTGCCTTTCTTCCACCAAATAAAATCCAAATTTGATAATAAATCGATCACAAACTGGTGGGGGTAAAGGACAACAGCTTCCCCTCCAAACGGACGAATGCCACTCCAGAGGCAGGTGAGGAAATTCTTCAAAGGTTACCATAATAAATCGACCACAGGAAAAAAAATTATTTAAACTGGCGTTTAATAACGAATGTTTAAAAGTCCTACACTAAAATACTAGAAAAGTATACAGCCCGCGGGGTAGAGTCCTCTTCTTTCTTGCCCAGCACTGTAGAACACAGACCCAGCACGCAGGATTTCTTAGGGGTCTGGAACCCACTTCCTCCCCAAACCTGGCTGGCAGGGACAGATGCGGGCGTCGTGGAAGTGGGAGGCCGGCACCTCGGCGGCTCTCTCCCCCTCCAGCTACCTACCTCGGCCTGCGGGAGCGCCGCCCAAAGCTGCCACCCGCAGACACAAACACTCACCCATCTTTCCTCTTGGCTTTGTAGACGTGACCATAAGTGCCTCGGCCAACTTTGCAGCCCTCGTATTCAAACAGGTCCTCGACCCGCTCCCGCTCGCTGCTTAGCTTCACTTTAAAGTCATAGTCCATTGTCACAGCCCCCGAGGCCGGGGAGCTGGGTTGGGGGGCCGGGGGGCCGGGGTGGGGACCAGGGAAGCACCGGCAGCCGCAGCCCCCGGGAGGCCGCCCGCTCTACACCCACCGGCCGCAGCACCAGCCCGACTGATGCGGCGAGAGCAGGAGGAGGCCCCGCGAGAGCGCCGGGGACATCCAGGGGAGCGGCGGGGCAGAGGCCGGCCGGGAGGGACGGGGAGGTTCCCCGCTGCGAAGGAGCGCCGAGGGACGAGGGCTGGGGGTGGGGAGCGGGTGTCTCTGCCCTTGTCCCCACAGGCTCCCAGGGCGCCGGTCTCCTGCTCTCTCCGGCCGCGAGCCCCGCTCCTGCTACAGTGGGAGCCTCGACGCGGCCACGGCGGGCTCTCCTCCTCTCACACGCACACTCACACCTCACCCTCTCTCTCGCTCACACGCTCGCTCGCACTCACTCACTCACGATCCCATACACTCAAACAGAAAGGCAGCGCGGCACAACAGCCGGTACCTCCTCAGAGAGGAGGAGGGAGGGCACTCGCGAAACACGGCCGCGGCTGTCGCAAAAACGTCGCGAAGCCTCTGGCTGCCTCTGGCCCTTCCTCCAGCCGGCGCCAGCTAAGGCTGGCCACCCTGCTGGCGCCCGCACTACAGGGGCTGCGTACAGGGAACGAGGGAGCTGCTGCCCAAAGCTGCCGCCAAACGCACCACGTGGACCAGCCCCTTCGGCGGCCGGGTCCCAAACTACAATGCCCACAGTGCAATGGCCGCCGCTGCCACCGCCCCTTCTACGACTCCGCCCCGCCCGGTGGGACTAGGGAGCGTTGCGTGATGGGCTTGGTAGTCCAAGTTGAGACGAGTTTCAGTGCGTGATCCCACACGTACATAGCGACATCGCCGCTAGAGTCTGATTTGGGCCATAAACTTTGCCAGAGATCCAAATGTGAGAGAAGTTAGTTCGTATTAGAATCACATTTTATACCACTTTCGAACTCCAGATGTTACAGGGGACTATCATTATCCTAAAATCCTATATACTATTTGTAAACAGCTCATAGACAATCAGTTGGGGTACTCCTGGGGTTAACAATCTACTGAAGTAAGGATTACACAATGATATCAAGATACTGACATACATTGCAAACATCAGTAAACGTGAATTTATGGTGAATACAGGCTTCCGCGCTTTTGTGCCTATAACGGCACCAATTTTTACTTATGATTACAGTCATGGATCTAAATCTATGGAAATTAGTATATTAATCATTTTAAGATACACAAGGTGTCTGCTAGAGGAGTACCAGTATCTTGATAACATTTCCTAGTTTTGTTTTACCCATCTTATTTGTACGTCTAGTTTTAATTTTTCATTTTCACTCATATTTCCACTAAAGTTCCCTAGTTTAATGGCGAATACGTGCTTTCATAATTTAAAACCTTCATAACACTTATTTTTCCCCACCCTTCCTGTAGTACTAATGAAATTGTTTTGCCTTTTATTTTTTTTCCCTTGCTTGATTATAAATTCCTATAGGGAGCCATATTTCCATCTTCCTTAACACCTAGTATCATGCCTTGATTGTGGTGCACAGTAAACATTTTTAACTTGAGTGAATACACATTTTATGCCAAAAATATCAAAGTAGACATTTTGCTAATGCTAATGATAAAATTTTGTGGAAAAAAATTCTGAAAAGTGCCTTTTCTTATATAAGTTTCCTTGGTGTAAATTAGGGACTTCACCACTGATTTAAAGTAAGTTACTTTTACCTAATATTCTATTATTCAGTGATTGATTATACTGATTCTGGATGGAGGTAAGAATTCTATAAGGGAACTTAGTGTCCTAATTATGTACACTCTTGGGTCAAGAAAGGAAGCTCACATTACACTAAGGAAGGGAGATCTCTGGTTTTCTCCCTGAAGAAAGGGCTGCTTTTATCCCTAAACTAGGTAAGAGTGAGGAATTTAGACTCCCGGTTGGACCAATATGGTGGTATGGTGGTATGGTGGTATAGTATGCCCTGTAATATGGTTTCTGGACGGAAAGTTATGGAGAGATAGCCACTACGAGCCCCTACAGGAAAGCCAGTGCATTACGAGCAATAACATCGAACACTATCCAGTTTCTTTTGTTGTTGTTGTTTTTGTTTTTAATTTTTTTCCTTTACCTCATTAAGTTTATTGGTACATTTTAGGTATAAAATACATTTACATACATCATTGGGATCTTGTACCATTACATGAGTATCTTGGTTCTTATTTTTTTTCCCCTTCCCCTGCCCTCCCTTCACCCCCTCCACCCTTCCCTATTTGCAAAGATTTTGTTTCCATTTTTTTCTTTTCTCATATTTTTTCTTTTCCCTTCTTTCCTTTCCCCTACCCCTCCCACTTCCCCTGCTCCTTTAGACCTTTACTTCCTATTACACAATATTAATTATATATTTTTAAAATTAAAATATCAAGACCTAGGAGACATTACCACAGGTTTTATAGAATTTAAAAGGATATAGAAAGCATATTACAAAAATCTGCTTTGAAATAAATTTGACAACTTCTGAGAAGTACCTTGGAAGACAAATTAATGAAACTAACTCTGGAGGAAATATAAAATTTGAATAGCACCTATTAAAGAAAGTATATTCCTAGCTTGAAAACCTACCTATATGACAACAGCAGGCTCATCATATACATTTTAACTGATAAATTATATCAAACAATTAAAGCAGAAAAAAAGGAACACTTCTCCCCTCATTTTAGGAAATCAATATTGTGCTAATCCTAAAACTGGATAAAGATAGTAGAAGAAAAAAGTATGAACATAGAAATTTGTTTAACAAAACAAACTATTAGAAGTCAGATCTGGCAGGATGTAGAAAGTGGTTTTGTTATAGGGATGGCAGTGTTGGTTCAGCATTGGAAGATCCACCCCCAAAAGTCATCATTTTAACAGAGGAAAGGTTTCCTCAGCTCTTGAATTGAGTTTATATTCTATAAAATGCTAATGTTAAATAATCTTTCAAAACTCAGTGGACCATATATATGTGGTTCTATTTCCAGATTCTCTGTTTTATTCCAATGATCTATATGTCTTTCCTTACACCAACACTGCCTTAATTACTGCAGCTTTAGAAGAAGTCTTAAAATTAGGTACTAAACATCTTCCAACACCGTTGTTTTTGTTTGTTTGTTTTTTGGTTTTTTTCTTTTTACTTTTCTAGGCCCTTTGTACTCCTACATAACTTTTAAATTTCAATATCCAATTCTTCATTTATACCAAGTATACAGAGACCTGAATTTTTATATATACCTTGTGTTTTCTAATCCTGCTAAATTCAAATACAAGTTCTAGGAGCTCCTAGAGATTTCTTAGTATTTTCTCTGTAAATGATCATTTCATCCACATATAAAGATTTTGCTTCTCCCTTGCCAATCCTATCCTAATTGTGTTATTTTATTGCCAGACTATTTTGGTTTGGGCCTAGGTTTCAAAGTTTAATGGACAGATGAAGAGTAGGCATATCTGCCCTTGTTCCCCACCTTAAGGAGAAAGCATTGTATCTTCTCCATTTATATAAGGCATTCTCGCTGGAAGTATGGAGTACATGTCTTTGATCTATTGAGAAAGTTCTGTTCTACTTCTAGTCTCCTGATAGCTTTTACCATGAACAGGTGTGGAATTTAGTCCAATCCTTTTTCTCCAACTAGTGGCAGGATCATATGGCTTTTTCCTTTCCTCTGTTAAAATGATTACTATCCAGTTTTAAATTTCTTTTCCACATGACATTTCCCTGCTGTGATCCTGAGGCTTTCAACTTAGTCTTAGCAGTGGAGCCTGTGTCTATGCTTGGAGGAGAGAGGACATTAGCAACCAGAAGCTCCATGATAAGAAGGGATACAGCCAAAGCAATGAGCTAGCAAGGGCCTGTGGCACATATTATTATTATAAAAATTTGAGTAAAATCTGTGTTTAAAATGGACTTCCTGTAGATGGAAGGATGGAAGTTGGAACTGTTATTTGAGTTGAACATATTAGGGAAAGAGTTGTCATTTCAACATGATTTTCAACCCCAGGTGATAGTGATGTTTCTCTCCCTCTCTCTCCCTCTCTCTCTCTCATGATTATTTCCCACCATATTGTAGAGCCTGTGACCATCATCAGTCCACGTTCCTGACAATGCCCCAATAATGCTCATGGCTACTTTGCATAAGATGTGGTTTTATTTACATTCTAAATTTAATATCTCCAGTGTTAATGTACACACCAAAAATCAGCCTCATATTTTAATTTCTTCCTGTTCCACCTAAGAGGATATTCTGCTTCTATCTCAAGCAAAATTTCTGAAACTGAACATATCATCCTGCCCTCTGAACTTTACAATTTCTGTGATAAGTGATGCTCGCAGTCATTCAGTTGTCTCATTACCAGGCCTCCTTCTTCAGGCCTTTCCACTTCATGCCTACTTCACCTTTGTGCTACTCTTCAGGCTGAGCTGCTTACTCATCCTGTCTCTGACCTTTGCAGCCCTTTGCATCCTCCAAAATACACCTCATATTCTTAACTTGGTAGTGAAACTTTTCCTGATTCTTGCAAATAAGTAAGACTTTTGTTGACTATGAACCTCCACCCCAGTCCTGGCACCATTGCATTTTATTTGTTACTTATTTAGAAACATCACAGCTACCTTGTAATTTAATTATTTATTTTATGCACTTTAAAAAAATCTGCCCTTTAATAAATGTAATGACTGAGTCTCTGCCTTAATCATCTCTGTATCCCCTACTGTGCCAAGCACATAGTTTACATAATTATATTTAATTAGAATGTGTTCCATTGGATTGATTTCTTTAAAGGTTAAAATGGACCTTACTAACAATACAAGTGGTGTACAGTCATTTACAACATATTGCACCTTGCCTCTAAATGTGTGCTTTTTGCAACAGAACTTAGTGCTTCATGTTCTATTAAAGGCCAAGTAGATCTTTCACTTGATCACTTCCACTCTCTACAATTTTGACTTCCATTTTCCCATTCAGTATCAAAGCAT